TTTATCTGGAGTTTTATCAAAATAATATGGTTCTCTTTGAGTTGTTTGTGTGTGTGTGTATATATATGTTTAGGTACAGTACTTGGCAGTTTTCTTTAAAACAAACTCGAAAGTTATCAATATATATCGAATCGTTTTCTCTGGTGCTCCACAGACGATACACGTCTTTATCGAGCGGCAGGCACGACCAGAATCAACCCACAATTTTTTGACAATTTAATTCACCGCATTGCAACTGAAACCTCTTTTACCCGCTGTCTTGTAACTCTCCTGTCTCTGCTAAAAAAAAAAGGGGGGGGACAACTGTTTACAAGCTTTTTTGTCAAGTGCATTGTATGGACTTTGATTTCACTGCTCACTTTGCTTCTGAAAGCAGCAACGTCAGCACGTTTGGAGCGCGGGGTAAACAGGAGAGAGTGAGTGTAGTGTCGAGAACCCAGCGTGTTGCGATCTTTTTATGGGAATCCTCCAAAGTTGTGGTTTCCATGTTCAGTGAGTGATACTCGGGACCCGTCGTTGCGGTTGTCAGCGACGTGTCACTGTGAAAGAACATCACCTGTGTTTTCGTCCCCCTTTTTACTGATCCTGTTTCCAGACTTCGGTTTGGCTTGGAGGCTTTTTCATGCTTTGCAACAGTGGGGCAGAACTGGCTCTGCCAGTTTTCATTAACCGTGCTTGTACATCTTGTTGTTAAGCCGGGAGGTCACTGATGGGTATAAATGATCCCTATTCTTTGCATTCTTTTATCCTAAGGTTTGGCGTTGTGTTTATATCGGGAGCTTGTGCTTCCAATAAGCAAGCCGCAGCCAGACAGTTCTATTAAAAACAATTTTGAACGTGCAAGTGAGATGGGGAAAAAAAACCTTTGGTAGATCTTTACAAAGCTTCGCATTCAGCCCTTCTCCAATCCCCAATTCCAATAAAGCATCGAGAGAAATGTAGACTGCAACATGTGTGCCCTGTTGTAGGCTCTTAATGTGTGTGTGGAAACGTATATTCCTCTATATATTTGTAACATACAAATAGCAGAGACCTATATTTTTCTGCAAGGTAAACCCCCCCCCCGTTTCTGTGTGGTTTGTACGCCGTAAACCACCGGTCTCTGGTGTACATCCTGTATTTAATATATGTGTCATAACGTAAATTGTATTATTGTTGGTGTTTTTCGCAAACGTGAATAACTTGTTTCCCTAACTTGCCTTTTTTTTTAAAAAAAACAAAAGATGAAAACATAGTTCTATTTCGATACATAAGAATGGTACCTTGTTGTAATTAATGCTTTGTGTCACAGAGCAGCAGGATGTGGGTACGATCCTACAATTTGTGTAGCAGGTTTGGGTCTTAGCTGTGCAATCGGGGGGAAAATAGTGAGCTGGATTGGGATCCCAAGAGTAAGTCACCCCCAAGTGACTTTCACTCGCCTGACATGAACTCCCTATTCTCTCTCTTGCCCTCTACCCACTTTCTTGGCTGGGAAATGGTGGAGAAAGAATGTGGGATTTATCTGTGTTGTGTGCGGGGAGGGGTGCGGGTGGGGAGGAGGTGAGTTAGGTCAGATACTAGGTTTATCTGACTCTTCCAAAGTACCGTGAATATTCTTGCTAACTGTGCGTAGGTTAGCAAGAAGTTTTTTTCAAAAAAAAACTGCAGTTATGCCTCAATTACATGCAGATCTAGTTTAAAAATAGTCATTTTATCCTTGAAAGCAATTTTATTGAGGGTGAGTTAACAACAAGATTTTATCAAGCAACGTAAATACATTGTAAGGCTCTACAGAAACTTTCCAAGTTGCTATATTTTACCTAAATTCGGCATTACCGTTTTGCTGTATTTTCAACCTCATCCATGCACTGACAACGAAACCAAAAACAACCTTGTAATAAAGCACTTTACTATAGAAGGCAAATATAGGTGCAATGTTCAAATAGCTGTCAGTTTTCTAGCCGTTACCCCAGCAACAAGAGATTAGTATGTGTGATATTTGCCCTACTGGGCTAGTGTAAGACTTGGCACTGAATGTACTGCACTTAAGATGAATGTGGAAAGTGGGTTTGAAATTTCTAGACAAAACAAAGCTGGTAGATATCTGCTAAGATTTCAAATTTATATGCTGCAGGGTTTTGAAACACTCGTTGACTTGTGTTTTGCCGAGACACTGAAACCCTAATTGAATGGGCCAAATCGTTGCATAGATATTGCAAGGAAACTTGTTTAGCAAAGCAAACATCTACAGACTGGCGAATTTGCTTTTTATTAAGCCAAAACATACACAGGAAACTGATTGTTCTGTTTTTGTATATGTGTAATGGGTCATTAGGCAGTGATCCTTTTATTTAACCAGGCTTCGTGACCATATCACTCCCACCCTCGCTCGCCTCCACTGGCTCCCCATCCCCCAGAGGATCGAATTCAAGATCCTCACCCTCACCTACAAGGCCATTCACGGCCTCGCTACCTCCTACCTCTCCAACCTACTATCCCCCAACCTACCTGCCCGTACCCTCCGTTCCCCTGGCTCCGGTCTGCTCCACATCCCCGCCCAACCGCCTACCATCGGTGGTCGGGCCTTCAGCCTCTCAGCCCCGAGGCTCTGGAACTCCATCCCCCAGTGCCTTCGCCGCCTCCTCCCTTTCCTCCTTCAAGGCCGGTCTCAAGACCTTTCTCTTTGACCGTACCTTCAGCTCCCCTCTCGACTCTCTACCCCCTCCTCGCTCCCTCCCTTCCCTCCCCTCACCCTGACCATTTCCCCAATGCTCGGGTCCTGACCCAACTGTCCAGCGCCTTGGGACGTCCTCCCGACGTGAAAGGCGCTCTATAAATGGAATCTTGTTGTTGTTGTTGTAAGTAAACTCGATAGATACAAGCAAACCTAGGTATCCAAGTTAAAGGTGGAGAAACGGAATTAAAAAGATTAAAAGAGCGACCCATGAACTACTAAAGTGGTTTAGAAATTGCCTATTCTTATGTTCTTTGAACATTAATTCCTACATGCCCATCACATACTTGATTTCTTTCTTGCTTGGAGGAAAAAGTATGTTGGAATTGAGCAGCGCGATGGAGTGCCACTTGAGAGATCCATGCATGGCACGCTTCTCTGGTCATGGGTGAATAATTCCTACGGATTTTCCAACACTGGGTTGTTATCAGGACATGCTCCAGGAGCACCAAAACCTAAAACAATTGCGAAGCCACTTTTGAGATATTTGACCTGCAGAACACAATTCACCGGCTTGGAGAAAGACACAGATATCCATTTGTGCTGTTTTGCTTTTCCCACAACAGTAGAAAAAAAACACAATACTTTTTTTTCCCCCTTGCCCCCTTCAAGGCCCGTCTCTTCGACCGCGCCTTTGGTCACCCTCCCAGCCCTACCCTCGTCGCCCTCCACCCCTCCTGATCCCAACCACCAGCTCGGGTGCTGGTCCTTGCCCATCCAGCGCCTTGGGACGTCCTCCTGACTTGAAAGGCTCTATATACATGTGATTTGTTGCTTTTTTTTAAAAAAAACTCAAATTAAAATTTTAATCCTGTTGTGATTAAGATTGTACATGAATCACCTTTTATCATGCATCAGTCTTTCATACCCAAGATGGGAACTAGCGCTAAATTATTTAACTACTGTATCATCTCCTTTTTACTCGAGACTTTGAAATCCATTCAAAGCTGAGCATAAATTGTTTTGCGCAAATTGTGTCTTTCGTGCAGATTGTACAAACCAAAAGCCTAGAGGTCTAACACGTGCGCCGTTTGTTGTGTTCCAAGCAGTCTTAACACTCCTTGCGATAACATTCCAGATACAGTCTTTTATTGTAGTCACAATATGTAATATTGCGACCAAATGTCTTTGTTTGGAAAACAATACAAGATGAAGAGACATTTCCATAACAAAGCTTTTAGAGGTGTCAGTGTTAAAGTAGTAATAGGTTAACATTTCCATAAGTTTTTTTTTCTTTCCCTGCATTATCCCCTCGTTCTTTCTGAAGGCAGTGTGGCTCGTACTGGGGTAAAGATGCACAGTTGCCCCCAATTCTCTCATGCCTCTTCCATTTGGTCTTTCTTAATGTGTGTCCTTAGACAGTGAGCGCAGACAGGCATTCAGAACATGGGATCACAGATGATCAAGTCTGTGCCTATTTTCAGCCTGTGCACTTTCCATCTGGGGTCACTGGATAGAAATCTGAATAAGGAACTCTGAATCGCACAAATTCACATAGCTGCTTTTGCATTTGTCCAGCTATCCAGTGTTGCTGGAACCAACAGTGTGTAGAAACCAGAAAGCTTTCAAGCATGGCTCCCTCAAATCATGCGGGCAGCCGTATCACTCACTGGAAGAGCAACTCCATGACTGTTTACGTTAGTTTTTCCTTGATGGGAAGCATTGAACGAAGATATTCATGAATTCCTCCCTGTTCCAAAGCCTTTCCCAACTGGGCTTGGGAGATAAACTGACCATACTTTAAAAATGCGACCTTTTACTACATGATAATCATTTAAGATTGAATTTAACTTCATTTAAATTATAAAAATAAATTGGTATAGTTTGCAAATATATGCTTGTGGCTCCAGCTTAGATTAGCCTTTGAATGAATAATTACAAAATAAAGCAACTTTTTATGTAGAATGTCATGGGATGTGTCTAGAAACCAGAAATTTAATTTGGATTATTCTGTTGTGGTGAAAAATATTTTGAGTCTTGAACAGTATTTTCTGTAACTAGGTCAAAGTGGGGAAAAAAGGTGTGTGGCGTGTGTGGGTGGGTGGGGTGGGAGGGAGGCGGGGGGGGGGGGGGGAGAGAACCCATGTAGCCAAAAGCAAACCTATTGGTATTTACAAAAACAACCATTAGTTTGAAACCTTTGCCCTAAATTCTGACAATCGAGCATGAAAATAAGTACGTCAGTAACAAAATAAATGTTTGACCCAGTCCAAATGATTTTTTAATAACAATTGAATAATACCGCAGAAACGGTTTATGACGAGTTTTTATCATCTTTTCACAGATGTGCACTCCGGCTAACACTCCTGCAACGCCTCCAAATTTTCCCGACGCACTTACGATGTTCTCAAGGCTGAAAGCTTCAGAAAGCTTCAACTCCAGCAGCCCCATTGCCTCGATGGCAACGTCCCCTCCTCCTGTAAACTTCAACACAGGCTGGCCCATGTCTCCTCCTAACCAACAGGGCATGTGGACTCCAGCCACACCAACTCCACACACAGGCTGGCCAGCAGCCGTGACCCAACAAGCCACCTCAGAACAGAAGGTCAATGTTGCCATGGAGGCTGAGAGATGAGATTCAGTTCAAGGCTTTGTAGATGAAGCGGGAAAAATCTTGCATGGGTCAATATGAAATAGTGTCTGTTGTATTGTACCGCAGCTAATCAGAACTGAAGGAATACAATAGTGGAGATTCAACTTGATAGCAGGAGAATTATGGGTCCAGCAATTTTCGAAGAGAGAAGCCTCTTATCTGGAGTTTGCATGTGTGTGACGCAATTAGACTTTCAAGGCCATCGACCTGACTTCAAAACGGAATTGTTTAACGTTGAGAAACTTGTATTTTGATTGTTGACCCTTCAAAATGGAACCCCTCAGTGATTAGCTGCTATATATGAGAGACCACCTTGAAGATCACTCATGGTTTTTAAAGATCACTCTGTTACTTTTTTGTAGTGAAAACGTGGCAGTTGTCTAATGACATTACAGGGTGGGAGTCTACAGAGTTGGAAGCAATGGACGATTTAAAAAAAAACTTTAATACAGGGATTGCAAATTAGGTTTTTGAATCATTGTTTATCTTTGTATTTGGTTTGTGAATGAGTTTTTTTTGTTTGTTTTGGGGGTGGGAGAGCTAGACTAGCAGTCATTAGTAGAGGACTGGCTGCAGATGGACTACTACAGTGAGGTTTTAATGTTTTATAAAAAATAAAAATCAATTTTAAAAAAAGTGCCATTGCATGATACTGTACATTAAAATGTAAACCTTGAAAGAATTAAAAAAGTCACAAAAAACAAAAAATCAAGATGTGTTTTGCTACTCTTAACAACCGTGTGATAGAATTTAAATTCACTTTAGTAAATGTTGCAATGCATCACAGGTTTGTCTTTTTGTCAAACTTGTAGCATATAATTTTTTGTACTATGTTATGCACATACAGGGAGTACCAAGTGTTTCTAGAAATGGTTTATCTTTGTTCTTTTTTTCCTCCCCCATTAACTTGTTTTCTTCTGTCCATGACCCTACTTCCAGAATGTCTTCTGTCAAAGAAACCTAAGTTGATGAAACAAATCTTTCTTTGCACAAGTTGTTTCCTTTACATATAAACAAAAATGTCATGCTTCTTATGGGACTGCTTGTTCTGAGTAGATTGGTATTTTTTTTAATACTGTTCCACAATATTTGTGGAGTACCTGATGAATAATTAACTTATCTTTTTTGTGTTGCTAAATAAATATTGTATGTACTAATGGTACTCTTCCTGTACTGATCTTATATTTAACCTTAGCAGATGGTAGATATGCCATCAGTAAAAAAAAATTCTGAAGCACAATAAAATATGAATTGAAACGAATGCCTTCTGTTTTTACCCATTCTGCAAAATTGTTACCCTGAAGGTTTCATTAGTCTACTAGGTTTAAGTATCTGGGTTTTCCAATGCTTTGGGTTTGCTTCCATTCCTGTGGAAATTGATCAGTGTTAAGTATCTAAATGGAGGATGCATGACATTTAATCAATTACAAAATAACACACCTTGTGATATTTGGAGCACCACTGATGACACAAAGGGATAAGTCATTCAATAGTGGCTTCTTCCCTTAAGCCAATGAATATATCATTTGTATATCTTGTTCATACTTGTTTGTTTTTCTTCCAAAGCTCAAAATGATGTAATGCCTTTGTTCTGTGGCGACTTAGTAGAAGATTGCATGTGTGATCTGTACTGTAATTCATTCGTGTAGCATTTTGCAGGTTCAGGGTGATGGCGGTGAGATAACGAGCGAGGCCTTTTCAGTAATTTTTGTTTCATTCTACTGATATTTAAAATGAGTCTGGCAAAGATTATCCAATTAAGTTTTGTGTACAATATTGACATGCACAGTTTAAACAGCCGCTGCCTTTTGTTGTGTGAAATTGGGAGCTTGGCAAAATAAAAAATCCATTTCAGAAATGGACCTTAATCCACCATTGATATTCACAACAGGGCAACCATTTTTCTCCTCTCTCCACTGTGACAAACCTCCATAGCGATCTGATGTGTTAGGCCCATGGTTCCTGATGCCTATATCGAGTTTTTATTTTTCCTGCGTTCTGACCTTCATCTATTCTCTTGAGAATATAAGCTTGGAATTTTTTCTCTCTCTTCATGAAGGCATTTTGTTGAAGCGTCAGATCTTGATGCCAATCATGTCCCCAGAAAACATAAAGGGCAGCGTTTGCGCATAAGTTCTTCAGACGCACTACCTGTAACTGCAGAACTTTGCATCACAGAGCAATGCCATTTGTTCTATTGTGACTGTTGGATTTTTGAAAAAAGGAATCCGATCAATCACATTTACCTGCCCATTCCCCATAACTTTATCAGCTACTATACTCCTGTTAATATATCTATCTAGTTTCCTCTTCAAAGTTAATATGGATCCACCATTGACCCCTGATCCCAACAGGGTATTCCACATCCTGATAGAACTGTGTGTGTGGAAAAAAACATTTCCTCCTTTATTCTTTTGGTAATTATTTTAAATTATTACCTTTCAATGTACCCTATTATTATTATTATTATGGAAATAACTCCTATCTATTCTTATCAACCTGTTCATTTTACAGACCTCCATCGGATTCCCTTCAACCTCTGTTCTGGTGAAAATAGTGCAAAGTTCTACCAAACTCTGCTCATAATTAGAGTTTATCGTCCTAGTGCACTCTCTTGATGCCCTGATGTCTCAAGTGCGGCGACCAAAACAAGTCACAATACTCTGATACGTGCAGAATTATGAATGCAAATCCAAGGTAAGATTACTCACCTTCACGTGTAGTATTGTTCTGCTAAATATTCTCCATTTAAGAATTTCCTCTGCGCTTAGTTGGTTTTGGACTATAGTATTTGCTATCTCTGTTTGTCCCAGTTATATAACATGATTAGCTCTAACCTGGTTGTTAATCATTACCCGTGTGTGTTGCTGCTAATGGTTTATTGTTTCACAATCGTATTCCTCATTTAACATTAAAAGAAGTGAATGGATTTCTTATTAATATGGTGTATTTCAAAGCTCCCTTCGCTATTGACTGAAGACGGTTGTGTGAAGTCTACACACAGTATGAGGTCAGGATCATGTGGCTCCCAACAAGTCCTTAAAGGGGCAGTACTTCCAATACAGTCCACTAGAAAATGTGTATTTAATTCATAAGGTTTTACAGTAATCAAAGCGTGATGTATTTAATCAAATACTGATGCAAGCAGGAAAATTGAAAACCTGGAATGTTTGGATTTTTCTTTGCACCAAATTATAAAATGGCTTCTAAGTTTGATGTCTTCATTGTGTAAAATGGCTGCCATGGCTGTGCCCTGAATTGTGTTTCTTGGTTTGACTGACTGCCCAGTATTACCTCGCCTTCCCTGCTATGCTTCAGGTCTTGCCAAAACTCACAAAGTGTGGGTGAATTGATGCTGCAGATTGCTTTGGCAATAATATACAGCCTATAGTGTCTCCTTCCTGCCTGTGCCTGCTTTAGCTCATTGGAAGACCCAAACATTGGAGCCACTTACAAAATAGTCAAACAAAACTAGCAAAGATGGAGAAATGGAAGCAAGATTACGCGTACTTATAAACAGTGCCCATTGAAGAAGCCGAGATATTCCTAGTGGAAACAAAAGTGAGTCAGCTGGAAATGGGAGTAGGGAACTTAGAACTACAACAACAACTTGCATTTACATAGCGCCTTTAGCTAATTTGCCTTTAGCTGAAATAGTTTTCACCCACGAACAATTTACATTTTGACACTAGTCAAGTTATGATTAGGTGATGCCATAAAGTGGATGAACTCTAAGGAACAGTAAACTGATTTTTTTTATGCGGATTTATTTATTTAACAAAAAAGTTCATTGAAACAGAAGCCCAAGAGTGTGGTGAATGGGTGGCCATTAGTAAAGAAATAAAAGGATTTGGGTGTGATTATTGAAGTCCCACTGAAAGTGCACAATCCATAAGAAGCTGTTATTAATAGGACTAATCGAGTACCAGGATACATCTCAGGGGATCTTTTAAGACAGACAGATCATCAATGTGCAGCAATTGGATACCTTGACTCATATCATTTAATATCTGTTACCTCTTCGAAATTACTATACTTTCTAATTAATAATTCTTATTTTCCAGTCAACGCTGCAGGGGTCTCGGATACGTGCACAAGTGAGAGAGAAGGTTTAGAGAAGGGAGTTGTGCAAGGCGTCTCTGTAAGTCAGGTCAGACTGCTAAGACTGGTTTGATTCAGGTTCACTTAAGAAGGTGAAGAGCAATAAACATCTTATTAGAAGGAAAGAGATGCTGCTTTGAACTTCCTTTTGAAGTCGTTGTTTAAATAGAATTACTTGTAGTTTAGTAGAGTCTAAAGCAGTGGGTGGACCCTGTGGTGCAGGTTTATTGGGAACCTGCCTCAGCTAACAGAATATTCTTGCGTTGCTGCTGCTGGATTGGTTGTTCACGTTGTCCAATTTGCTGGTCACAGCTTGCATTTACAGTTTAAAGTGCTCCGTTCAACCTCGAGCTTCAAGATGTGCAAATCACTTTGGGCATCTACACATTTTGGCTTCTTCAATCCCTGCCTCATTGTCCGATGCCTTGATCTGCCAAAGCTCGAACTGTTGCGGGAGTCCTGCAATCGGTAGTTTTCTTCTCGAGACACTGACCTCCTCGATTAAGCTCGTTATCGTTTGGAAATGTTGCAGCAGGAAACTTGGATCATGTGTTGGGAGCCATGGTCAACAGTGACGATGGAAGAGAGTGCTGTTACCTGGAAATATTACTTGTGCACTCGCTTTGTTGTTGCTGGTGTGTTGCGGTCTTGCAGTAATATGAAATGGTAGTCATGGCACAAACTGGTACATCCAGAGCTTTGATCGAGTAATTTCTTTATAAAGCGTCAAATACCGAATGCTTGGCCTTCAACGTGTAATCCTTTCTCTATGAGCACTCCTTCTCAATCTTTTGAGTCACAGTCTTCTAAAAATTCTCTCCCTTGTAAAAAAAAAACTGTTGATACTGACGACTGCATGAATCTCCCAGCTTTTATCTGGAAGGTGGAATTAAAAAGAAATCTTGAATTCACGGCTGTAATGGAACAAAAGATAACTGATCTGCAGTAAAGCTGTAGCAGGTGAAATAAACATTAATGGAGAATGTAATGTGGTCGCTGACTCGACAGACCCTGTTGTGGGTTTGTTTGCTGAATGTCTGGAGCTTCCAGGCTTGGAGCTGTGTTATCTGGCGTATTGACTTCCAATGAGTTTTACTTGGAACAATAAAATATTTTCACATTTAATTATGAGGCAATGTTAAAGATTATTTTTTAACTAGGCTCCCTCGCTCTCCCATCAAGATAGTTTTGACATATTCTGGCCCTGTGCTGTGTTAACTGATCTTTCATTGCGTAGCTCTGGTGTGAGTGTGGGGGGTGGGTGGAGAAGAGAGAAAGGAAAAGGCAATGCAATTGACCTCAGTGGGAGTAATAAAATCAGCAAGTTTCCATGTCTGATCGCTATCTCGTGATCTTCCAGAAACACCAACGTGTGAGATGTTGGGTGAAAGCAGCAGGTGGGTTGGCTGTGATGCTGACCTTCATAGGACACCCTGCCAACAACATCTGCCTGGTATCATGAGGAAAGATTGGCTTCTTGATGGAAATCAGAGGGATGTTGACATTCGTGCAACTAACTCCGACAAAGATAGCTGCAAATCCCAGACCTTTTTATACAGAGAGGGAAGCCAACAATTATTTTCCGCAGTTAGTGCTGTTAATAATAATAATAGTAATGATGTTAGTGCCTCCCTCCCTCATCTCCTTCAAGGCACGTCTCAAGACCCTCCTCTTCGACCGCGCCATCGGTCACCCTCCTGCCCCGACCCTCCCTGCCCTCCAACCCTCTTGATCCCAACCTGCTCGGATTCATAATCCCTGACTGCCCAGCGCCTTGGGATGTCCTCCCGAAGTGAAAGGCGCCGGGTAAATGTAATTTGTTGTTGTATTTCAAATCTTTTGCTCGTAGATTATTCCCAAAGGTCCAATGCTTTCAAACTTGAACTGGATTCTGTGTTCCAAATTAATTAATAATACGCCAGTGTGGTTCCTGGTGTGACTGTCCTCTTAACGACTCAGGATTATTTTATGTTGTTCTACTCGGTAAACCGATGTCTGGCTTCACCCAAGTGAAGAATATTAATGAGACTGTTTAAATTATGCATCAGAACCAACTTGTGGCTTGCTTCTGAATTGGCTGGCCTAAAGGTGGCAGGGAACAGTTCATCTTATGCGGCACAACGCATGTACTATGGCTATTTTCTTCCTGTGTTTTT